TGTCCCCACCTGGGATGTGAGACAACAGTGATGGGGTTAGGCTGATTCTGGGTGAGTTGATGTGTACCCTCCGCACTCCCCAGGACACAGGGAAGGACTGTGATCATGTGGGGTGAAACCCTAGCCACTCTGCCAGCTCTGGGGGATTCCCTGTCCCCCAACAGGTGCTGCTCCATGAGTTGGGCCTGGACGAGCCGCTGGTGACGCCCCTGCGGGAACGCTTCCTGCAGCCACTGATGACCCAGCTGTACCCCGAGTACTGTGAGGGTCCACTGGACAGCCATCGTGCCTTTGTGGTCAAGTACGCGCCAGGCCAGGACCGTGAGCTGGGCTGCCACTACGATAATGCGGAGCTCACCCTCAACGTGGCCCTGGGCAAGGCCTTCACAGGAGGCGCCCTGTACTTCGGGGGTCTCTTTCAGGTAAGCGGATGTGGCCAGGGGGCCGGGCAGGGCTGCTGTGAGCACCCAGGCCTGAGTCCCACTGTCTGCAGGCACCCAGTGCTCTGATGGAGACCCTGGAGGTGGAGCACGTGGTGGGCCAGGGCGTCCTGCACCGGGGCGGCCAGCTGCATGGGGCCCGGCCCCTGGGCACTGGTGAGCGCTGGAACCTCGTCATCTGGCTCCGAGCCTCTGCCGTGCGCAACCGTCTCTGCCCCATGTGCTGCCGGGAGCCCGACCTGCTGGATGACGAGGGCTTTGGCGACGGCTTCACCCGAGAGGAGCCCACCACGGTGGACGTGTGCGCACTGACATGAGCCGGGGTGGCCCAGAGAGCGGGGCAGGAGCAGCTGGCGGAAATAAACTCCCTGCACCCATGGTACTTGGTGCCAAGGACACTCAGGCAGCTGGGTCTTTCTTTGAGCAGATGGGCTTGAGGGGCAGAGTCCGAGGTGGAGAGTGAGTCTTGGGGAGGGCTGGGTGAGGACGAGGCCCCCATGCGGTCGGCCAGCCTGATCCCATGAAGAGCTCCGGCATGTAGGACCCTGAGGCTGAATGACTGAGGGTCGCAGCCAGGGAAGAGGACAGGCATGAACCATTAGTAGTGGCCTTTGAAACGGGTGTTTGCACACTTCCCTTGTCAGAGAGATCTGAGAGGACATCAGTGGCATTTTCGGGATAGATGTTGAGGGCTCAGTGCAGGGACTGCCTGGGTTCAAATCTGGGTTCTACCCCTTCTCATGGTGACTGTTTGGTCTGGGAAGTGCCTCCTCCCAAGAGCCACAAATGTTAACATTTGTAAAGGTCCAACAGTATTTGCTGTTGTCATTATTATCAAAGCCTTTGCCACTTGGTCCCTGAGCTGGACAAGACCCACAGCTGTGTCCCTGTTCAAGCCCTGACTGCTGGTTGTTCTGGGAATGCCAGAGAGCCTGGGGCCACCAGCCCACCCTGCACAAATCCACTCAACCCTCCGCTCAGCTGCCCTCTGACGGGTCTTCACTCTCCTTGTGGACACTGGCTTTGGTGACCCCTGTGGTCAGTCGTATGACCTTGGGCTGCTAACTTAAATGCGGTGGTGATTTCCGGGGGTTTGAAACCCCCAGCAGCTCTTCAGGAGAAAGATGGGCCGACTTCTCCCCTTAACATTTACGTCCTCGTAAATCCAAATTCCAGGCTGCCAGACGTCAGAGCAGACTCAGCAGCAGTGGAGTATCAGTGTTACAGAAAAGAAGACCCAGCAGTGCCAGGCTTATGCACTCAGCTGCTAACCAAAAAGGTTGATGGTTTGAACCCATCAGCTGACTCACGTGGGAGAAAGATGTGCTAATCTGCAAAGGGTGTTGTTAGATACCGACCAGTCTTGTGAACCACAGTGACCTTGTATGTATGTGCCTGGTCCTACATCCTCCTTGAATTGCTGTGTTTGAGCCCAGCGGTACCAGTCACTTATCAATTCATCTCACTGAAGGACTTCCTCTTTCACTGACTCTCTTCTTTACCAAGTGTGATGTCCTTTAGCAATTGGTCCCTCCTGATCATATGTCAAAAGGTCATTACATAAAGTTTTAACCATTCTCACGTCTAAATCATTCCGGCATTTCTTGTTCCGGTCATCCACGGTATAGTCAGTAATTTTTGCCCCACTCTATGTAATTCAGATGCATCAGCTCTTCAGCTAAAGTCTTGGAAACCCAGTGGAGCAGTTCTACTCCGTCCTACAGGGTCGCTGGGAGTTGCAGTCCACTCTAGGGATTTAGCAGATGGGGCTGGAAAGATGGGGTCCCCGAGGTGAAGCCCGCAGTCAGCTGAGGTGGACAGTGTTGGGGTATCCAATAAACAAGCATGGGCTTACTTGGGCTTATTTACTAACAGTGCAGTGAAGGATTTTATGGTTTTCACCACTTCTGGGGGCTGCCGTCTGCCAATCCCTCTGTATCTTCCTGCAGAATGAAAACCTCTCTTCCAATTTGCGATCCCTGACAGGGACGGAGGCAAAGCAGGCACAGCCTCACTTCCTCCTCTGTGCTGTTATAAATCCCTAAACCCGTATGAGCCTGGGCACATACCCGCAGTGGACAGGCCCTGAGAACCCAGAGAGCAAAGTGGAGTCCAAGGCATCGAGGAGCAGGGGGCAGGGCTGGAGAACTGGGACTGGTGCCAGGCCGGAGAGCGCGTGGGGGCAACACCTTGTGGCCTCGGCCCTTTTTGAGGAGGAGTGGCAGCGCCACGCATTGGCTAGATTGGCCCAGCCAGGGTCTCGGAGCTCCGGAACTAAAGGAAGCAGGGTCTCTTCCACATCGGATCGCCCTCTCGACGGATCAACTTCCGGTGCTCTGTCCTGGGCCGGAAGCCAGCTGGCCGTCGCATCCGTACGCGCAGGCGGGATGTCAGGTTGCCGCTCGGTCTCATAGGCGGTTAGGTTAGTTACAGAGTGGCCCCAGTGACTCTTCCTGCAGGCCTCCAGGCCAGGGACGGCGGGCGGTGGAGGGCAGGAGCGCACGGGGGGAAACCCACTTCCCGGGACTGAGGGTCCCCTGCTGTCCCCTGCGCGCAGAGCTCGGTGCGCAGGCGCGGTGGACGCGGTCCCTTAAAGGGGCAGGGAGGTCGGCGAGACTGCGGGGTCCCCGGGGCTGGAATGGGTCGCGGCTGCGCGGTGTCCTGGGTCTCCGCCCTGGAGCAGTGGTGGCTGTTGGGATCCTCGAGCAGATCCCCCATCGGAGCCCTAGACTGAGCACGCTCCTCCGCACCTCCCGCCCCAGGCGCTATGGTTTACGGCGGGTCTCGCAAGCGCTCGAGGAGCCGCAGCCGGTCCCGGGGCCGAGGGTCGGAAAAGAGGAAGAAGAGGAGCCGTAAGGACGCCCGCAGAAGTTGCTCGGCCTCGCGATCCCGGAGCCGCAGGGCCAGCACTGCCTCCGCGGTCGAGGGTGAGGACCAGAGGGGCTGGGAGGCAGGGTGCAGGCATTTCACGGGAGCTAGCGACTGGCTTTGGGGGAATGGCTGTCAGCCGTCGTCAGGGGCGGAAGGGGAAGAGTGTGGGTCGCAGGGGGCCTTCAACCTGGCCTTCTGTGCAGCCGGGCCCGAGGTGTAGGTACTGGCCTTGGCTACCTGGCCCAGAAGGTTCCGCTCCAGGGTGTGCGAAGCCCTGCCGTGGAGAACCTTGGCCAGCGGTGGCCGAGCCTGCCCCAGCTTAGAGCCAGGAGACAGGGATTCTTCTCCCCCTGGCCTTCCAGCCTCACCTTCTCCCTGCACCACAGAGAGAAGCAAACACAAGGCCCGGAGGAGACCACGGTCCAGCTCCTCCTCCTCTTCTTCCAGTTCTTCTAGCTCCTCCTCCTCCTCGTCCTCCTCTTCCTCCAGCGATGGACGGAAGAAGCGGAGGAAGTACAAGGACAAGAAAAGGAAGAAAAAGAAGAAGAAGAGAAAGAAGCTGAAGCAGAAGAACAAGGAGAAAGCGCAGGTGCAGCAGGCTGAGGCCCTGCCCGGCCCCTCGCTGGACCAGTGGGACCGAGCCGCCAGGGATGACGAGGACGGCCCAGGTACCATGCCGCCCTGGTGTGACGGCGGGCCTCCTCCCTCGACCCCTGCCCACCTCCTGCCTCTCCCCTTCCAGTCCTCACCGACGAGCAGAAGTCTCGCATTCAAGCCATGAAGCCCATGACCAAGGAGGAGTGGGATGCCCGGCAGAGCGTCATCCGCAAGGTGGTGGACCCCGAGACGGGACGCACCAGGTGGGGACTGTGGCCTTCAGCTTAGGCCCCCAGCCCGGCTTCCGTGAGCATCGGCACCATTTATAATGTTCAGGAGAAAGGGCTGGGGCTGCCACTTGTTGATGGGTTGTCTCAGGCCCATCTTCCCTGTTTAGGCGGGTGCCTGGAAGAACTTCAGGGAACTCTCTGAAAGAGCTGACCCTAGTGATAGCAGAGGCTGACCAGGCAGGGCCTCCTCTGCCACCTCTCCTCTCTGCCAGGGCTGGGAATCCAGGTCCCAACCTGCTGGAGCCTGGCTCTGAGGCCCCTTTGCTGGCCTAGCTTTCAATGGTCATGGGCCCCTGCTGAGTACACCCCCAATCTCTTCTCCCCCACAGGCTTATTAAGGGAGACGGTGAAGTCTTAGAGGAAATAGTAACCAAAGAGCAACACAAGGAGATCAACAAGGTGGGTATCAGCCCTTCCTCCGCCTGCCCGTTACCCCCTGAGCTCAGAGTCTCACATCCTTCCCTTTCTCCACTTTTTCCCCAGCAAGCCACTCGCGGGGATGGTCTGGCCTTCCAGATGCGGGCAGGGCTGTTGCCTTGAGGACCTGGTTGGCCGAGGCCTGGGCAGTGTTCTGGGTCGCGAGCCACCCACAGGGTGCCACATGCCTTTTGTCCTGTGGGTTGGCCTCTGGCCGGGTCTGCTCACAGGTCTAGGGGTCACTGACTGGTTCAGCACCTCCTCTCTCCCTGAAGACTTCTGTTCCGGATATTAAACTTGCCTTGGATTGAGAATTTCTGACCTGTAGTGTTTTCGTGCTTAGGTGGGTGCTGTTACATTTACAGGAGAAACTCTGAGGGCCCCTCCCTTAGGGAACTGGGGGACCTCCTGGTGGTAGGGCACAGTGAGCACAGGCAAGTGGCCGCATTCACCTGCTCGGTCAGCCAGCCTGGCTCAGATGCAGTGGCCCAGCAGATTCCTAATGCTGGAAAGAGAGCCCAGCTAGGGTACCACCACCTTCCCTGTTGTGCGGTCCCCGCTGATGGCCATTAAGGGCTCAGGCACTGCAGCCAGGCAGCTTGGCCACTCCTGGGTCCACACTTGTCTCATGTCAGTGGTTTCTAGCATCTCACTATTCTGCTATGGGGCTGACCAGCAGACCTAGTTAATGGGGACCTCTTTGTCCTATCAGGGGAGTGCTCACAAGCCGCGCTCATAGCCACGTCTGCCCCAGCAGCCAAGGTCCATACCCCATCACACCTCACACGTGAACGGGCCCAATCTCCCTAACCCCTACAGTCCACGCCCCACGTGATCCCTTCCTACCCCCTGGACCTGCCCCTCCCCTCCCCCACACCTTGCACTGCACACACACACACCCCCTCTGCACACAGGCACACACTCCCATGCAGGCATGTCCCACACCTGGGCACCCCATACGGCATACTCTCCTTCCCACGCCCCCCAGTGCCCAATGGCCACGCCTCATGCACAGACATGCCCCTTTCCTGCACACTGGCTTCGCCTCATGCATGGGCTTACCCCCCCGCAGTACCAACTGGCCACACCCCCACGCAGACGTCCACAGTGCTGGCCATGCCCTGCATGTAGGCACGCCCCCCCAGGCATGCCTAACCACTGGCCACGGCCCCCATGCACACCCCCACCACTGCAGCCTGGTCATGCCCCCACGCATAGGCACGCCCCCACACTGCACACTGGCCACGTCCACATGTAAGCACACCCACATAGTGCACACGGGCCACTCCCCACAAACTGGTCACGCACTATTAGGCACACCCCACAGCACACGCTGGCCACGCCCCACACAAAGGCACGCCCCAACACCTGCACACTGACCACACACCACACATGTAAGCACACCCACACAGTGCATACTGCCCACGCCCCACAAACTGGCCACGCCCATACCAGGCACAGCCTACCACTCACTGGCCACACCCACGTGTAGGCATGCCCCCACAGCACACGCCCATGCCAGCTGGTCGCGCGCCATGTGTAGACACGTTCCCCACAGCCACACCCCCACAGTGCCCCTGGCCACAGCCCACGTGTAGGCACACCCCACACAGACAAGTCCCCCCCACAGTGCAGTAGTCACGCCCATGCATAGGCAGGCCCCCAGAGTGCACACTGACCACGTCCCACGCGTAGACACGCCCCATGCGTAGGCACGTTCCCCACAGCCACACCCCCACAGTGCCCCTGGCCATGCCCCATGTGTGGACACGTCCCGCGTGGACACACACCCACAGTCCCGTCACCCCGCCCCCCCTCAGTAAAGACGCACAGAAGGAAGCCTTCCTGCTTTAATTGGTGTAACAGACGATGACACGAAACAGAGCACACGCAGGCCCGATGGTGCGAGGACACAGGGGTGTGGGGCCAGGCAGGACGCAGCTCCCACACTGGCCCAGACACAGACGGCACAGGGACACGGGGGTGGACACGTGAAGACAACCAGGAGGGGCCGCCGGGGCCTCTGCCGAATCGCTCTTTCCAAATCAGAGAAGGCAGGTGGTGGGGCCCAGGTGTCAGGTGGGATCCGGGGGGGGCGGGAAGGGGAGGCCTCTAACAGGCCTGGGCGGGTGGCGGTCAGCAGAGGCCACCTCACCCTTTGGTTGTGACTGGTCAGGCGCGAGCCGGTGGCCCAGCACCCAACGCTGTAAACATTTTTATTTCCAGAGGATTCCGCCCTCCCTCTTGGGGTTCTAAAGAGGGGGCGCCTCCTCTGGAGGTAGGGAGGCGGAAGCAGGCCTGGATCCAGAAGAGAAGGCGGGGTGTCTGCCTGTCCCTGCGGGCCGGTGGGAGAGGCCCAGGGGACTATTGCTGTTGTCCTTGGCATGGCTGACAGGCAGGTGGACAGGCAGATCAGGAGACGCGGGGCCGAGCCCCTGACCGCCCGGCTCCTCGGGCCAGGGGGCCTCCCGGCCGTTATTGCAGGGCTCCAAGACTTGTCCAGATGGCTGATCACCTAGTGGGAGGCGGGACGGAGACGGGACGGCGAGGAGGCACTGGCCATGCCCCGCGCGGGGGCTGATTGTCGGCCGAGGGTTCCGCTGGGGAACGGGGAGGCAGATCGTGCACTCCCACTGCATCAGGTCCATGAAAACTTGGCCCAGAGAGTAACCGTCGCTTTTACACGTGGCGCCCTAGACAACAAGGAATCTAAAACACGCACAAGCCCTGAAAGTTCTGTCCCTGCACAGAATCAATACTTTGCGCTCACAGAGGCCCACTTTGGCAGAACGCAGCACACCCCTCCGCTGTACATATCTACACACGGGAGAATGGATGCCAGCTGCCCGGCCACCACCTGCAGCCAGAGGCCGCCTGCCCGGAGGCCGCTCCCTGGGGAGAAGCCTGACTGCTGGGCAGGAAGAGGCCATGCGGCCTCCCGCACCTGGGTGCAGGTAACGGCAGGTGTGCAGGTGGAGGCCAAGCAGCAGGTGGTGAGGAGGAGGGCGGATGCTGAGGCCCAGCGTGCAGAGCAGGGTTCTCCAAGCTCATGCGGCGAGTCTCTGTGCCCCCTCTGTAGCTAATGATGAGCGGTGGCTTGTCAGATGGGCCTCAAAACGGAACTGGCGCTAAAAAATCCCAAGTGTGTGCTCCCCTGCACCCGAGTGGGTTCACGCGGGTCTGGACGGCCGGAACCCCGGACCTGCGTGCAGGCCAGGGCAGAGCTGGGCCCCGTCACAGTGCTGGGTGTTGACGCGTGGAGGGGCTACGCTCGGTATGGAAAGAGATAAGAAAAGGAAGCAGCCAAGATTTGCTCATTTAAAAAAACTTCATAGAAATCAGATCTGAGAAGTAGAAAGGCGTAGAAACGCGGGCAGGTGGCGGCACGAGGCCTCTGCGGAAGGCTGGCTCCACGCTGCAGGGACACACGGCACCAGCTGGCCTCTGGGCCTGGCCGCCTCCGGGGTCCTAGCCTGCATCGCATCACCAACTCCGGGTTTCATGCATCCAAGCGACTGTGCCCTGTGGGGCGCCCGGTCTCCTAACGACACGAACGAAGTCAGTGCAAAACCAGCGAGGCGGCCCACTGAGTAACCGGGGAACGGGGAGCTGTCACAGGCGCCAGTCCGCGTCTCTGTGGCCGAGCTGGGACTTCCGCCGTGCCTGGCCCTGACGTGGGCCTGGGGAGGGCGGTAGGCGCGTGGTTAGTGTTCCCGTGCCGGCCGGGCCAGACCTGCCCGCGCTAGCCAGCGGTGCCCCTTGCCCCTCAGGCCTTGGGCTGGGGGCGCCAGCTCTAGCACCATGGAGACCACGCGGCTCCGGATGCCCTACTTGGGGCCGGCGGGCGCGCTGGGCTCGAGGCGGCCGGCCACTGCCCGGCCCCAGCAGCCGGCGGCCACGCTCATGCTGCGCTGTCCGCGCTGCTCGCCCGCCGTCTGGCTCTGCGTCCGCTCGTGCCGGAGGCCAGCGCTGCCCGGCTGCGCCGAGATGGTGCGGAGCAGGTGGTTGCGGGAGCGCAGGAAGTCGGCGGGGCCCGGCAGGCCGAAGCTGCCCTTGCGGAGCGCCATGCGCGTGGCGGCGTTGCGGGCCGGCCGCGCCCGGTGGTTGTACTTGAGCTGCGCCAGGTGGGCCGCGTAGCCGTCTGTGATGAACTGCAGGTGGCAGACAGGGCCGGGTTGTCAGGGGCG